ATTTTTGACAGCAAATGCTTAATACAAATGCACCATTTGCTGTTTTGTGACAATCGATCTTCTAGTGGACTTGATTTGAATTCTAGGGATGCAGCTTAAAGGGAGGTGTCTGCTGGAACAAAAGCGTGTTTTAGCTAACCAATATTGTGCAAATGAGGCAAGGTCATGACGAGGTACAAGTGAGACTGAACCACTACCAAGGTGAACTTTGTCAGTAGAAAAGCCTCGACACGTTATGTGGTTTGCTGACAAGGTCTTTGTGCCATTTTCAGCAAGCATGGATTTCCGACCACAACATTTGTTCCTAATCCCGCATGTTGGCCACGCGTAGACCCACCTGCACAAGCTCCACACGACATGCGCCCATTAGTCGTGCTGTTGATCTGCTGTCACGCCTAACCGCCGCTGCTTTTATGGTATCTCCACCGCATCGACAATAAACACGAAGAAACCGGTGTGTTACGTTTGGTAGATGGAGTTTGGACGTGGCTTGTCTCGAAGTTGTTTCACCATCGAAAACGATCCACTTCAAGTGACGAATTTGCTAGTCCATGCATTGTCATCAGTTCTCCATTCTTCACGTTGTGTTCACTTGTTTCGATTTCTTTTCTTTTGCATTGTGGAAGATGCATGGTTTGACTGCAAATATTTACACTTCAGTTAGTCGTGTGTGCTGTCAACGATTTCCACCCGATTTCGATACAAGCCCAGTTGGGTGTCGCGATTGTTGCCGCACCAATTACTCGTATTTAACTTGACAGCGGCAGAAACCGGAAGATAACTGTGTGGAGGGCTCTAAGATGTCCGTCTTGATGAGCTGTGAATGGTGTGGTCGGGCGTCGTCGTGATTCAGATTCACCGCTCCTTCGAGAGCAACTCACGTCTGCTGAATAGGCCTGTCCAAGAGTCGTAGTTGATTTTCACAGAGGACTGTTTGATTACAATTAGTGTCGACGAATGAAATAAATGCTAAACCCCGATGTCGTTGGTTTTGCAATAATTCACGATGCCGTCTTTGAATCATCTTGCCCACTGACTCAAGGCACTGACAGACGCTTTTCCGCTAGCAACTCAAACCCCTAATTTCTTCCAAAACTGGGTTTCTGAAGGTTAAATCGTCGCAATGAAATGTAGCGATTGCGTTTTTGAAGTATATCTGTCCTGGAAATCGGAAACTTAAACGAACCGTCTGTGAAGCCGAGTGTGGATGTGGTGGCCAGTGTGACGGGTCGAGTGGGACGTGGAGATTGAGGACGGATGATCGCTGTTGTGAAAGTGCAATGACCTGTCAAGTCAAATGTTCACAGACGTTGAAAAGGTTAGATAAAAGGTGGCCGAAGAAGTTGGAATAGGGCGAGCCAATTGCATCAACTGGACGAAACGCATGTCATTTAGGATGATATAGCTGAGTTTGCTCCAAGAACAATGATGTAAATGATTGCTTTTCTCAGTGTACCGGCATTTTGTCTAAAATCGAAGCCCGTTTTAAGCATTAAAGTGCAGTGCCTGAGTAAATAGCAATTGTGTTTACATCGTCTCCGTAGAAAGCGAAAATTACCCCAACATCTTCGTTTTGGATTTTGAGCTCACACAACAGACTCTCGCTTCGGTGTGGCTGCATGTAGACTCAACCCAACTCTTCTAGATAACTTTCTCCCGCAATTAGGTTTGAAAGATGCGGGACATTCAAAGAGTTTTGTTTTAATTGCTGGGGCTACGATGACCGCATTTTTGGATAATTTCAGCCACAGGTCACAATAGGCGGTGCGGTTTTAATGAGTTTGTAGTTGAGTTGCTTGATGACCTACGCGTGTTTGAAACCTTAAAAGGGACCGCATTCCAACCCGCCTCTCCCAAATACCATTAAAAACATTTCCAACTGGGACAACATGCGGCATTTAAGTGGTTAACTGGGTCAACGACTATTTTTATAGCGCGTTTTTCTGAGCAATTTTTGCCAGTTGGAAGCACATTCAACATGCGGGAATTGTCTTAAAACAACCAGCCTAAACCAAATACCGTGAGGAGGTTTGAATAATTAAGGTATTCAAAAACCAGTTCAATGCATGTGACAGTGGAAGCGCAAGGAAATCTAGCCATTCACAGAGCATGATTTTCGGTTTAGTTGGAAGTGTGTTAGTTCAGTTACCAGTTATTACAAGTAATCACAATTCTCGCGAGCAAGATCATGCTCTTCGTATTGCTTGATTTTGTAGAACCTTTTGAAGTTTTTTTGTCACAACTGGTGTTCGATTTCCCAAGTGATTAGAAATAGATCGTTCAAGTCACAGTACAGCACGCAGATCACGTTTTAATCGATCCACTGTGAAGTCAAATAACTCGATCGATCACTGGTTACTCCTGTGTAGAACAGTTCAACATCCATATCACGAGATTTAGGAAATTTATTGATTATTTTCCAACAGATTCCAGAGAACAAGCCCCCCGGCTCTCTCGTTGGTCGAGTGATCGCCCATGACAACGACGCAGGACCAAACGGCCAAATCGATTTTACCCTCTCCTGGAAGTCGCTCAGACACCAGCGACTTTTCTCGATCAACGAAAGAGGTGAAATCACCACAAACGAGGTTCTTGATCGCGAAGAAAATCCCAATGGAATACGTTTCACGGTGAGACCAGCTTCCATAAGTCTTCCATTATATTGCCTCTGCTAGGAATTCCGGTGAATTTCTGTCAATTCCAAGATGTCGGTTTCTACTAAATTTCCGCGCCTTTGAAGTTATGCCTGTGTTTGATCACGTGAATTAGACTTTGTCAAATGTGGTGGTGATTGAACTCGGGCCAAATTGATCCTTTCCTGAGCCAACTGCCTGCATTTATTGATGGCGCGCTTGATAAAATCGTCATTAGTCAAATAATCTCAAATTTACGAGTTTAAAATTTCGCCGCTTATGATCATGTCCCTTCTGACCACGTAGTAACGAGCGGTAATATCAAAAACAATAGGGTCTTTTGTGAGTAACCTCGCGTCAAGTTTGTTTAATCTCGCATCCACTCATTCAATCTCTTTCGTGCGTTTGAGGCGAGATGAGAACTGCGGGATGTTTGATACAAATTTTATTGCCAGACGGCCCTGGAAATCCGCTAAAGTTAACCTAGTGTGTCTGCCCGTTGACAACGTGTTGCGGCGGCCGGTGATTAAAATCATCCTCGATAAAACGTTTCGTCAAGCCTCCACCATCATACCTGTTTCCTTGCGGTGCCAGATTGCGTCGTTTCTGTTACCAAAGTCATGATATTGGCAACAAGGGAAGTTACGTTAGACGGGCTGGCTGCAGACACAATATTTTTCGTAATTCCATTAAGTTTTATTTAAAAAAACCACTTATTTAACCTCCATTTCATCTTATCATCGTCATCAATACTGGCGGCTGTCAGCCATCCACCAAACAAGTTGTCACTTCTCAGTACAAACAGTTTTGTCTGTCAACCTGAATGAAATGTTTACTGCCATTTCGATGCCATCACTAAAAATTTAAAAAAAAAGATTTTCTATAATAAGATTCTAAAACAGACAGCAAATAACAGGCATCAAGCGTTCGGATTGGTTTTGCTGGGGAGTGTGATTGGTTCTTGCGTGAAGGTCATTCGTGCTAGCCAATGGCAGGCGTCCGTTTTCGCTATGTTGATTTCAGTTACCCATAACTAATTCAAGTGCATTTCAGGTGAAAATTCAAAGAATCATGTAAAAAATTACTTGTAACCAGCAACATATTTACAAATCCAGTCAACAGATGCAGTCTGTGTAGGAATTCATGCGAACTCCTAACCACAAAACCCCCTCTTTTCTTAAAAGGTAATCGCGGAAGACAAAGGGCAGCCCGTGTACCGCGCATCGGCAGAAGTAAGCGTGCAAATCGAGGACGAAAATGACTGCGTTCCCAAATTCGGATCTCACCAGTACCACTTTTCTATTGACGAAGACGTCGAGCCCTACAGACGTGAGACGAGACGGGTCGGGACTGTCCAGGCGTCTGACTGTGACACCGGTCCCAACGCAGACCTCCGATACTACTTCGAAGAACCGAATTCGCCGTTTGAGGTAGTTTATTGGTCTTGTCGACCATGCACGGCTCCCTTCCATGTTTGTCCAATTAAAGTCGTAGGTCGCATATAATGTTCAGGTGGCTCCAAATCCAGAATTCAGGTGCTTATCTGAATGAAAAATGTTTGATTCTGCGCGAAACGAATTAACTGGCTCGATTAAATGTGATGTCAAGTATTTGAACGCTTGAAGATGCCCAAGAATTTCCCATAAATCAATATCTAGAGGCTCTTGTAACTGCACATGACATTCTTCAAGCTACACTCGTTAAAGGTCCAAAAGTGTAGGAATATTTCGTTCTACAACTTGAATCGTGTCAGATTCAGATGGAGTCTATGGGAGCTTAACCCTGACATCACATCTCTGCACGTTGAGAAATCGGATATGTTTGATCAGGAGGCAATATTCGCTGAGGATTCCTCACAATGCTTGGTGCCTAGTTTTTATGGTGTAATTCTCCGTCCTCAACAAACATTCTCTAGCATCGCACGGCATAATTCCTACGACTTGTCCCCTATCCACTGCCGTTAAGGCGCGCCACGGAATGAATGTATTGAGTTTGAAGACTCCGCTGTGCGTAATTAGACAACTGTTTACTAGATAGTTCAATCAAGTTGTGTGAGTAGCGCCACTGCGCGTAAAAAAAATCGTGTCTGGATGATAATGGAAGTTGTTGACCAATATTGTCTGGGTGAAATTGTAAAAGTACAGACGACTGACCGGCCAGATGAATGAGACGGGTGGCGCGGAGGCGGCATGTGAACAGGGGCGTGCGAGCAGACGGTCTCACGTGGTCGATAGGGACGCCGGGAAAAGGCGGTCGGTGTGGCAGAGACCACGAAGCTCTACATCGTCATGCCTTCTGCTCCGGTCAATCAACTCAAACACAAAGGAAACCATGGCGGTTTTTAGTTCTCCTAAGCGCGCTTCCAATTTGCTCAAGGAAAGCCTAGACCCGTTCCAAGTAGGCGACACTGATCCCAGATGCAGAGCAGTCTAGTTCGTTTGATCATTCTGGCTCTTCCAGGTCCACGGTAGCTTTGCTTATCCAATTATTTTCGTTGGTTTAATCTGAATTCTCGTTAGTACATGGCACATAACAATGCGATTTCAGCTGACTCCGATCGATTGATTCGTGTAAGTGTGATTTTGTCTGGGATTTTAGGGAGTCCGAAATTCCCCTCCAATCGATTTTCATTCAGGTTCTTTTAAATGCAAATGACAATCTTCAAGCTGTACTTGTTGAAGGTTCTAAAGTGTAGGAATATTCCGTTTTTGTTTTAAAAAAAATCGACGATGTATCCCTACACAAATTGAACAGTGCAAGAATCGAACCACGTAAACAATGAATCTTGAAGCATCTTGCTCAAGGTAACTGTCTGCTCTGGAAGCAAAATCGTGGAAGTTGGTGATCATTCAGCTTAGCGAAAGTTCTTGTGGGTTTCGCCGCATAATTCCAACAACCAGTCCAATTTTCCCTACTTCAGTTTTTTGCAACGTATCGTGGCGCTTCAGCAAGCAATCAATAAGTGGTGGGTACTCGAACGGGCCACAACGGCTCGACCACGAAATGTCCACCGCCCAACCCGCAGACAGTGGAAGAAGCGAGATGTTTTTGTTCAAATTTGGGAAGTCCTCCAAACAACTAGAGTGCATTCAGCGTGACACTTAAACCGAACGTGAGCTTACACGATTTCAATCGATTAGCTTTGATCCGCTTCAGGTTACGACCTTTTTTCGGAGACCGGATTTTAAGCGTTCGTATTTAAATCTGACTTCTTGTTACCAAGCTAAAACTATCACGCAGAGGCTTCTGCACATCCTTCCACCACCTTGGTCACGTTCATCGATTCGGCTTTGTCGAAATTAACGAAACACCAGTCTTGCCGAAGCTGAGTTGACCCCACGAGAACGATTGACCGTTCGATAGACGACCACTGCTATCCGAGGCATTTCATGGCCGTTTCAAGTTGACTGACCTGCTTGTTGAAAATTTGCAGGGATGCTAGGGAGTGGGGATCTATAGAATTACTGAAGATAAACTCAAACCCTAGGGAAGCCAGATAAGCCCACAGTGGTCCTCACTGTACTGCCGATTCGCTCCAGAAAATCTCATTACACCAACAATTCACAGCCCTCTTGTCAAGGCCACGGAGGCAATTTTAGAATCATCTCTCATGTGTTACTAATCATCATGTAGTATTAACTTTCCTCGTGTACGTATTCTGTCCCATTATGCTACGACGCGCTTCGATTCATTATTAGGCAATTTTAATTATCACAAATGCCGCATTAATATTTTTTGACAGTTAAGCGAAAAACGGTCATACATTTCTTTTCTTGTAAGGAAAGTGGGGGGGGGGGAACACCAGGGGTACAATAGATGAGGCAGGCAATTCTATGACCACTAAGCCATCAGCTATTCAGTCGTAGTAGAGCTGGAATTGTTTTCCTTGAAATCTTGCTAGGAACACCAACATTATCCCAACAGTTGGTTCTGTAAAGCACTTGCTATGTACAAGACGCGCCATTACTCACCCTCCGGTTGCACAGGTCTGGCTTCAGGACAGCCAAAGAGCTTTTGTGCGGGGATGAATTGATAAATGAATCAAACGTGGCTGCAGAAGCACCTGTCTTGATACTGGACTGCCTCCATCTCCCACAACCCATTTCGGGGTCATCAGCCCATCTACCAGCAGTTGTCGGAGTTGTGCAGCTGTTTCCTACCACTTCTAAGTCAGCATGACCTTGACTCAGGCGCAGCAATATTGATTAACTTAAACAAGGTTTTGTTTCAGGAAACTCAATCTCTGGTAGTTACCACATGGTCAGTAGAATGCCGATTTTGAAACCAAAGTAAACACAAAGCATCCGCACAAGAGACGGTACATTTTAATTTAGTATTTGTTCTCTAAATACTAAGTTCACGTTGGCAGGTCGTTAGATTCCGTCTCTCTGGAAACTGTGGTATAGGGTGGGTTTCGACTGCATCCATAGAACCACACCATCGGCAATTCAAATTATTTCTCGGTTAAAGACACAAAAAATACGCAAAGAGGTAAGGTCGGGAGAATATGCCGAGCAATGCTGAAAGATTTCCCCGTTTTAACACCTCGACTGTGTGCGTTTAGATTGGAGGCGCCATCTTGAAAGTGACCGAGTTTGCTGTTTCACTGCGCAAGGAGTAAAC